GAAGATTTAGAATAATGAATATTTTATTGAATGTGTTAATGAATATTTATTGAATGTGTTAATGAATATGTATTGATGAGTATAAAGAATCATCTATTGAATATGTATTGAAGAGAATGTATTTTTCAAATTTAGTATTTTTGTTGATGAATATATATATATATATTTTGTATTCTATATAAATAGGTAAAATGCCACCTCAAATTGATAATAATAAGGATAGTGGTAAAAAATCCCAGCGTCCGAGGTTAGTAACATGTGAGGCACCTCAGTCGACCACGTGCCCTCTCCCGCAGAGTCAGGTTGATCTTATGTCCATGGTCAGTACTCAGCCTTTTGTGCCATTACTCTCCTCTCAGAATATATCATTCTCATCTTGAACTTCTTCTTTTATTAGCCCGTATGGGGTACCATATTTTGTTAGGCCACCTGTTTTCTTTTCCCGCAGACCCAGACACCCTCATCTTTCCAGCACATTGAAGGATCCATTTTTCCACATTCAACACATATGCCATCATCCTTCCAGCATATTGGAGGATCTAGCACCCTACATCCCATACAGATGCCCTTATCTTTCCAGCAGACTGGAGGATCCAACGCCCCACATCCCACACAGATGCCCTTATCCTTCCAGCGGACTGGAGGATCCAGCACCCCACATCCCACACAGACTGGAGGATCCCGCACCCCACATCCCACACAGACTGGAGAATCCCGCACCCCACATCCCACATAGACTGGAGAATCCCGCACCCCACATCTCACACATGTACCTGCACGTGAGGATGATCATGCGCAACCGGGTGATGATGATGATGATGATCACGTGGATGGGGATGATGATGTGTTGGATGGAAATGATCTTCGAGGGAATGATGATCCGGGTGAGATTCATGTCATTGACGGGAGATTTTGGATTTAGCACGAAGGAAACTCGTAAGTTTCTTATTTATAAACTTTTATTTAAGATAATGTATTTTCATTTTTAATATAAATTTATATTTAATATAACTAATTCAAATTATTGTTGTTTAGTTTCTCGCCGAGTCGGACTGCTTCCAAGGTTATAAATTATATAATTCAGCAGATGTATAAACAATTTTGGAAGACCTTCAAAGATGTCAAAAATAAAGAAGCTTGGTTTAACAAATTTAAGGTATAATTAATTTATTTTTTAGTTATTGTTATTTAAATGACTATTTCATTATAATTATCTAACTATTTATTTTAATGTCATACAATATTGCAGGAAAAATGTGTGTGAGATCCATTGAACGAGAAGATGATAAAAAAATTATTATGGCAGAATCTCAAGACGACTTTCTGACATAATGCGTCGTGTTAGAGAGCGTTGGGAACTTCAGGGTATCCGTCCCAATTCGATAGGGAAAGAGGTTTTAGAGGAACTTCTTAAATATTGGGAGTCACCCGAATTTCGGGCTAAATCTGAAAATTTTTAAAAGATGAGGACATCTGAAAAAGGGGATGCGTTAATGCAGTTGGAAGTATAAGTACCGCAGAGCATGTTCGACGCATGGTAAATATTACCACTTTTTAAGTTATATTTTGATTTATATTTTATTAATTAATGTTAATTTTTTTTATTATTTAGACCAAGAATTTGGGGAGACCTCCATTGATGATTGAGTTGGTTAAAAAGACTCGGACAAAGAAAACCAGGGATTTTGTTGACGAACGCACTCTAAAAGCTTTCGTAAGTTATTTAATTTACGTTGTTGTTTATATATTTTTTTTATTTAATGACAATTTTATGTCGTGATTTTCACGTGGCAACTGAGAAACTGTGACGTGAAAATCACGTGGCAATTGAGAAGTCGTGGCGTGAAAATCACGTGGCAACTTTTAAATATAATTTAATTTAATTTAATTTAATTTAATTTATTAAATATTTAACTTAATTTTTTTATTTTTTATTGAATGTATAGGAGGATTATCAGACATTGCTCGCAAATTTTCTGAGTCATAATCCTCAATATACTCCGGGAGAGGGAGAGTTGCTTCATCCAGATGTGGACTTTTATATTTGGGATCAAGTCATTGGCAGAAAGGGCCTTAACGACTGTTTTTTTGGTGGTGGAAATTTGGCGGACACCTTGAGAAGTGGAGATAGAACTCTATTTCAAAGAGTTAGAGATGGGGAAAGGGGGTCACGTCAACCAAATTTGATACCAGAACAATTTGAAACCGTAAGACAATTGACGTTAAATGAGGCGAAACGCGAGTCAGCGCAACGTGAGACGGCAATGAAAGCTCAAATTGAGGCAATGAGGCAAGAGCAACAACGACAAATGGAGGCCATGGCGAAGAGGCAAACTGATATGGAGCAACAAATGAGACAATTTATGCAAGGGTTTGATGGAAATTCAAACTTTCGCGGTAAGAGCCGGAGGATGACGGAAGTGAAGATAATTTTGACATTGATAATTATGACCCATAAACTTTAATTTTTTTATTTTACTTTCAAATTTGAATTTGTATGCCATACTAATTAATTCTTAAATTTATAATTTTAGTTTATTAATTTTATTATATTAAATTTAATGTATTGAATTTATTATATATTAAATCTATTTTATATTGAATTTATTATTTTAATTTATTATATTCAATTTATTAAATTGAATATATAAAAGAAAAATAAATTTAGTTATTAAATTAAAAAAAAAACATTAGTGACGTGACTTTCACGTCACAAGTTGTGACGTGAAAATCACGTCGCAACTTACTTTTTATATAAAAAAACACAAAAGTAGAAGGCAGGCGTTGTTAAAAAAACACATAATTGAAACTATTTAGTGACGTGTTTTTCACGTCACTAATTTGTGATGTGAAAAACATGTCGCAACTAAAGTAACTTTTATTCCTGCCAACCTGCTTTCTTACAGATTTGGGTTTTCTATAAAATTTTGTTGCAATGTAAAAATCACGTCGCAAACTGTTTGCTATCCCCTCCCCAGCCACGTGAACGCACACGTCGCAAATATTATGTAGTGACGTGTTTCCTCATGTTGTGACGTGAAATTCACGTCGTAAATGAGTGTTTTTTTTTGTAGTGACTCTTAATATTTTAAAACTGAAAGAATCTAGTACTTAATCCAATGCTTGAGATAAGATGTGTATGGTGCATTTTTTTGAGTCTCAGATTCAAGATTAAAAAGGGGAAAGATCAGGTCATATAGGCATAACATCTACACCAAATCAGGGCAATATCTCTTGAGACATACAAGAACAGTACATACCTTATGTTGAGATGGTATTTTCGACAAGGAAAATGAGCCTTTAGTTAGTAAAGTATCCCTTAGGAAGAAGGGCATAAAAAGTAATTTATGGAGAGATTACTAAATGAACCACAATTAAATGCTCTGACGAAGTGCATCAGCCGACATGAGTTATGGGCTTGAAAGGCCAAATCAACAAACAGAGCGAGTCGAGGACAATGAAGTGTCGATCGACAGACAAGTTAAGGAAGCACCAAAAGGAGGTTTTGAATTTCAAATTAATTCACTAGGCGCGAAAGTGGGGAAGTTGTAAAGCTATCCCACGTAAGATCCCAATGTGGGGGACTCCAACCGACGACGGTTACTTTTTTAGGATTTCTATTTAAAGCAACTTTATATATTATTGTAAGAGTCACATTTCTTCACATTAAAAACAATACACTCAAAGTATATGCATCTTAAGAGAGAATGTTTAGAGTGGCGTTGGATTATTCATAATCACAGCAAATTATCACGTTTACGTAGAAGTTACAATTTGTTATTTCTGGTTTTCACGGTGGAATATCCTTTAAACGTGCATCTAACTACAATATGTCATTTCTGATTTTCACAGTGGAGTACCCTTCAAACGCGCGTTTAGTTTAGTCATTCCAAACACATATCCAAACATGCACTTTATATTTTTTAAATTACTTAATATTTTTCAATCTTAACATTAATAACTTTTATTTTGTACACTTTGCCAAAATTAATAAATTAACTTTTACCTTTTAACTCACATCAATAAAAAATTATATTTGATAGCTGTTTTTTAATATGAGTTTATAGTTTTAATAACTTTTATTTTATACACTTTGCCAAAATTAATAAATTAACTTTTACCTTTTAAGTGAGATTAGCTTATATAAATCAATTTTATCATGATCATATTTCTATTCAAATAATTAATTTTGAGTTATCATGACTTGTTTTTATCTAAATAATTAATTTCGAGATATTTCTTAATAGCTTATCAATCTTTATAACCATGACTATGTAGCACCACCCTCTCGTTTTATTTAAATTTGAGATCAAACTATTCAGTAGAATTGATAATATGTATTTTTTTTTGCTTTTGCACCAGTTCCGACCTACATAATAGATCGACTAATACAACAAGCATTATTCCTGTCAGGAATCAAACTCGGTATTTTCCGAATGTCATCCTTTGAAGAGACTCGATTGTCACTCGAGCCCAAACGCTTGGTTGATAATATGTATATTTTTAAAACATTGGAAATAACCCACTATGACAATTTTTGCACAAGAGGAGTCAAATTAAAATAGATTCTTAGTTGCATTAAGAATCAACATAAATACGTAATGAATCAACATAAATACATAACATAACATCTATTATTTCTTGTATTCTCTGGCTACTTGCATTTATATTCGCTAATTTTAAAAAAAGAAAGATAGATCAAGTATGTTTTTTTAATAAATAGTAATCCTCAAACTTTAAATGGTGACAGCGACAGCCGATACAAATTAAGTTACACATTGGAGTTATAATAGAAGCACAAGAAATCATCCCAGCTCATCCTTTCTCTTTTGATGAGAACAACGCAAATCAAAATTGAAAACTCAAGGACAAGCTAGGCCTAAATAACTGGTTAGTAGGAACAAAAATGGGGGGTATGAAGTCATTTCTTAATTTCCAAAGATCAAAACTCTGTTTAGCATGACTTGAAGAGGTACAAAACTCTGTTATCCTTTTTAAGACTATATGGAAATACTCTTCTGGACAAGCAGTATGTCTTTCCATGCTTCATAAAACATCCAGGTGATTCCAGAGGATGGCATTACCTTTAAACAGCTTGCACCCCATCCTCTGTACAGACCCTTCAGACCTTCTTGTCTAATCACTTCTGACAACGCTGCTGCCATGTTTGGTGGGCACTTGCCTTGCAAAGCTCCTACCATCAGACGCTTTCTGGCTACCTCCAACGGAAAGCTAATTGTACTGGCGGTAAAACCTGGGCATGCAAAACAATCAATTTGTATTACACCAAGTACAAAAGTTCAGTTCATGTGTTGCATTGCATAGATATAGATGAGAAGCTTATTTAGGACACAAATGTTAAAGAAAAATATGCGTTAAGAGAAATGTCAGCAAATTACATTGCCAAGTACATGATACATATTGACAAACTATGTCTCTGCCTTTGGGTTAGTAAAACAGAAGTACGAGACAAAGCAAATAACTTCGGGCTAAATTTTTCATAAACATAAATACTTCATGCCATTATTCGGTTCGTGCAATATGATTGATTGATAGATCATGTATGGGATAGAGCGAACCAAAGAGCTGTAAACAGAGAGAAACATAGAGAATATCTCACCTGATAGAGCTCCAATCATAAGCATCTCCATACGATTTAAAGACTTCTTATTTTTGGTCAGGCAGTAAGATTTCTTTATTGTGTCATACATGAAATAATAGCAGGTACTGTATGGAAGCATGCCAACTAGAGTAGGTGATAAACCAGCATAAAAAGCGCCAATACCACCATCTTTATAAATATTCCTAATTGCAACGCCTAAATTAGGGTATATTTCAGGACTTATAGTTAACCGATCCTGGAATAAAAATCCAAAGACAAGACAATTAGAATTGAAAACAAGAACAAAATACAAGAAAGCAAAGTTCAACATCTTCATGTCTCGGTCATTATTAACTCAACAGTAAATAAGATATACTACTCCCTCCACTCCTTAATTTAATTTAATTCGTTTTTAAAGATACCTTCAAAACTTCCAGGGGATGGCATACAAGTGTGCTAGCAACTCCTGCAGCTGCCCCAGCCACAGCAGTTGGTGAAATCCAAGACAAATTCAAGCTCAAATTGAGGCAACCTATCTGCAATTTGGGACAATCATTCTGTTTCAATTTCTCTTGCAGTGATGCCATCGCCCGTTTTGTACACTCAAATGTGCCAAACTCAATGGCCTGCGTTGGAACTATACGAATCATATTGATCATGTTTCCAGCCCACAATCCTTGCCATCCCTGCTGCTCTACAACCTGAACGAAACTACCTGTGATATTTTTCGACCCAATACCAACTACCATTCTTGTCCTGCATGTTGAAATAACGCAAAACATTATACTAACACATACTAATTAGCAATTATGTTTAAATGTAAAGTTGAGGTCTAATTTACATAATTCCATTCCTCTATCCTATTACATAACTGCATTCAGTTATCTAAGATGGTTTCAGTTTTGTCAACGATAGATAGCATATGATAACAATTTGTTCAAATTATGCTACACTAGTAATGAAATGAAACATCAAATCCCTTGACGAAACCAACCTCAAATCCCTTCAAATAAAATGAATTGAAACAACGAAACGTAACAAAACCACAAGCAATAAAAGCGATATAACCTGATGGTTTCAAGAGGAGCAAGAATAGCTTTAGTCATAGCACCAGCTAGGGCACCACTCATGAACTCCCGAACCTCTCTCTTATCTAAAAATTCCTGCACACAAACAAAAACGATTGAGTTATTAATCAAGAATGAAAGCTAAAAAAACAATCAGATTAAAACAAAGTAAGCATTTACCTGTGCTTGGTGTGGAAGTTGAAATCGAAAATGGAGATTGGAGTTAGGAAGAATGTCAATGTCTTTAAGGATAGTGTAAACATCACCAGAAGAAGAAGAAGAAGAAGAAGACAGGGTTTTAGATTTTGTGTTTGAAGACATTCTAGGTTTTTCCAAAATTTCTTCTTCTTCTTCTTCTTCAATCTTTCTTGACGCTTTCAATAATTTGGGTTTTGAATTATCAAAGGATTGATTCGGCGCAAATTGAACAAAAACTGAAACCCTAGGAACAGTTTGATTCTTCTACTAGACTGTGTTCATGTTCATGTTCATGTTCATGTAATTCAACTTCTTACTACTTTGCACGTGTAAGATACACTCGAGGGTTCTAACACCAATCCGCAAAGATGTCTATCTTACATTATCATTTTGCCCCCTTCAATTTTTACAAATCAAACCTTTAGTTCTTCTGAAATTAATTTCGAAATAATTTTTGTTTTAAATTAATTTCGACTGGTTTGCTGAATAAAATAAAGACAGGATAATTAATAATGAGTTGGATAAGGATAAATGTATTTACTAAAATCTTAATTAGTGACAATCCTTAGTCGTGTGTGTGTAGGACTATTAGAGAGTTTTAGGGTTATTAGTGGTGACAATCTTTATAAGGTTTTTAAGTGAATTGAATATTCTTTCTCAATTATATGATTGAAGTATTTATAAAAGTTTATCAGGACTGAATCGATACGGTCTGCACGCCCATAGTCTAAACTGCTCTGCTCTCTGTCGGGCAATATCGATATTTTTTTCTCCTAAGTCGACACTGACCTAAAATGATCGACAAGCACCTCTCAGTTTGTCCGACATAAAGTCGTACAGGCCACCAGGAACCGACCAGAGAGATGCGCGTAACTTGCCTCCTCCTCAAAACCAACGACTAGTTACGGGCATATCTGTCCGGTTTGACCAAGTCTTGACAATTACCTGATTTTACGGGCCCACATATCCAAGCGTAAAAACAGGAACCAATGGTCATGCGCTAGGGAAATTATATAAACCCTCACACCTGTGAGGGCCAGGTATCGAATATTCACTATTCACCACCAATACCTTAACACTTTGCTTGTATCTCCTTGTTCTCACTCTTACTTGATCGTCGGAGTGTCTTGCAGGTACAACCCCCTTTTTTCCTCCTCGACATCACAGCCCAACTACAAATCATCATTCGGCCACCTTGCAGGTTCTAATCAACCAGTAAGATCAGTGGCGTCGTCTGTGAGAAACTGCTATCTCCATCTTTCTTTCCTCGAAACTCAAAGATCAAAGCAATTTTTCAAGATTCCTTTCACTAACCATGGTTGACCATGATGATCTCCATCTGCTCAGAAAGGTTATTCCTTCCCCTACTCACAAAACCGACAGAAGTTAGGTACATCCTCACCTCGAGGATAACCTGGGTTTCCGAGACGGACAAACTGCGTCTCCAGATTCAATTGACGCCCGACGCGGCGACTACCAATTCTAGGATAAGGGACTCCCCGAGAATCCCATCGAGAAATTGCCAGAAATCCTACGACCAATTCCCATCCCTCTCAGTGCCGACCCGGCCATGGCAGCATTGCTCGCTGCTATCAATCAGACCAACGCCCTCATCCTACAAGAGAAACAAAGGATATGGGCCTGAGAGAACAAGCGGTCAAGGTCTCCTCCTCGGAGATCCCGACGACGAAACTCCCCCAGTATATCACCACCTAAGTGTGGCCTTCCACCAAGAAGGGAGAGGCACGATGTTTTTTTCTTAAAGACTCCCCTTCATCCAAGAAGAGGAAAGACGACCGTCAAATCGACCGCGCTCGATTGTCCTTGCCCGAACCAAGACAGAAACAGAGGAGTCCCTCCCCCCGACGAGACCACGGCGATCGACGGAGCAGAAACTATCACTCCCTTTCTCTGTCCCCCGCTGTTGTACCCCAAAATTTGCCCTCGCATTTTTCCTCAAGAAATCACAGCTTCAGGCGTTTCCTGATTTTTCAAACTGGCTCAAGAATCGGTCAAAACAGATTTTTCTCGTCAGCCAGGCAAAATTAAGGTTTTTGAAGGGTCTGGAACAGTTCACACAGTCTGCTTAGGGTTTTGGTTGATTTTGGTTCAACTTCGATCAGGCAAACGCTTCTTTGGCATTTGATCAGAATCAGGGTTTTGTGCGCATATCTCTCAAGAAGAGTTGGTTCTATCAATGTTTTTTAAATTACTCTAAATTGAGAACTGAGGCTGTTGGTTGTTAATTTGCATTTGTTGGATTTAATAAGTGAAAAGAGGCAGATGGACGTTTTGTTTAATTAACTATCGCTTGGTTTGAAACTATGCGTTGCTTTGAATAATTGGGGCGTCAGGTTTGTCATAAGACCACAATGTTTACCAATTGATTATTTATTTTTAAGTTAAGATAATTGGAATTTATTTCCATTTTTATTTTAATTTAAGAATTATAACAATTAGATAAATATCTTGAAAAGAATAAAAAGAATTAATCAAATAAAAGGACTTTTTATTTATCTTTAGATTACTTGTATAATTGTTTTTGTTTACAAAATGTTTACAATAATAATATTAAAGTTATTTAAATTTAAATAAAACTATCCTAATATTTTTCTAAGTCTTCAATCCTTCATCTTCCATCCCTTGCTCCCTCTGCCTCATTGGATTCTATCTGCAAAGAACAAGAAAGAAGAAAAAGTCAGAATCAGATAAATATTTAAAGAGACAGACAGATAAAAAGTTCATCATTAAAAGCAAATGGTCGGGATCAGTTCGCCCTCTTTGTAAATCACGGGATTTCTCCCGGTTCACAAAGAGGGATGAAAATGTTTGCAAATTAAAAATGAATGCACAAAGTTAAAAATTGCACATTTCAAATTGGTCAACCAACTGCATAGTTCAAAGCAAGACAGCATGTGCAAATACAAAGTCCAAGTTACAAACTAAATGGCCTAAACCAAGTTCAAATTGCTAAACAAAGTCACAATTTCAAAACTAAGTCCAAAGTCAACTAGAGCTGCCAAAAGATATCTCAAGGTATCAAAGTACCATCAATGCTGTCAAGAAGCACAAAGTATGGAAAAGAGATATGCAAATATGCAGAGAAAGAGTAGATTGCAAGCAAATTTCAGTTTCATCATTTCCCAGGCCAGTTTGCTTTTTCAGAATTAATACATGTTAAGCAATATAATATGCTTAAGTACTGGAGAGAGAGAAAAAGAGAGAAAGAATGGGCTTACAGGTTTAGGCATGAGACAATATATGTAAAAACTGCAATAAAACAGTGGGGACAGAAGGCAGAGATATGAAGAAATCAGAATACAAACAAAACTGTCCATAAAAAGGAAAAGAATTATCTTTCCACAAAAGCCTCCAACTCGTTTCAAACCCTGCATTAAACAAGTTAAAAATATACAAAACCTGAACCATCAAAAGCAGGCAAAAAAACCGATATCATAACAACACAATTTTTTTCAAGCTAAAGCCTTGGTTCAAAAACGAGTAAGGCCATCAACCAGCATAAACCCAAACCATGTCAAAGCTTACAAACATTCTGCCCAAACCTGTGACCAACTTACAAGAAGCCTAAACCTGCAATACACACAAAACTCCCAAATCATCCTCAACCTGATAAACTAGTAAAATATCAAGCCTAAGCATCAAACAGAAATTAAGCCTTATCTACTGTAAACAAACCACTGTCAACCCAAAAACTGAAAATAGCATAAGCACCAAAACACCTAACCTCAAACACATAGCCAAAACCTTCATCTGTCAAGCCAAAAACCTGCATTGTCAAACTCATAAAACTGCCTCCATCCTGCTGAAGCAGAAGCAGCATGACATCCAAACCATCCCCAACCTGTCCAACTCTAAGCCATAGCATCAAAACTACTGTCAAGGCCTAAGCATTCAAGGCAACCACTAGCCCTCAGAAAACATTCATCATTGGGCTAAATAACCAAATCATACAGCATCAAGCAAAGCAAGCTAGGCAACTCAAGCATTCACAGGGCATACAGAAAAAGCAACTCAAGGCAACCGGAAGAAGGAGATAAAGAAGCACAGAAGCAAGCACACGAGGCGAACAGAAGAAGAAGATAAAGAGGCATTCTCAAGCATCATCATTGAACCAACACTCAAAAAGGCAAAAGAATACAAATACCAGTTTCCAGCATGCGAGCTCAACATCCTCACCGCTTCCTCCGCCGTCAAGCCGCCTACGCGCCTCCAATCCCATCTTCTCCTCCGTCTCCCAAAAGGTAACATAATTTTCCCTTCTCTTCACACCTCAAACAAAAAAAAACATTCAATCAGAATCCATAAACGAAAAACTGAACATGCAAAGAGAGGATTAACGAAAATCTTAAAACACAAATGAGAAACCATACCCTTTTGTACCGCCGTTTGAGTGAGCCTGAGGATGAGGACGGATGATGGCGCGGTGGCTCTAGGCGGAGGGTCCCGGTTCAGTAATCTTTATGCTGAGGAAAATGAAGAGGAAGGAACGAAGTGAAATGAACGACAGCGCCGCTTCTGTAAACCCTAAGCCATTTCCCAATTGAAACAAATTGTGAGGAACCCTAAAAACAATTTGAGAAACGAGTGGGCCACAACCCTTTCTGAAACGCCTAAGCCCTTTCTGTTTCCCATCATACACCCCCGCGTTGCTACTTTTGTTTGGACCAGTATAAACCCTTAAAACCCATCAAATTTCTACACTATTCTTTCCTTTTATATATATAAAACATATCATATCTTTTTATTAATTAACACACTTTTTTTATTTTTTTATCATTCATTAACTCTTTGATTTTCTTTTTTTATATAATCACACTTTTATTTATAAATAATATATTAATTAAAATGTGCAAAAGCATTAATTTTTTCTTCTTAGGATATATTTCTTTTTTTATTTTATTATGTTGTACATAACACAATAATACATAATATAATTTAAAAAAAACTTAAAACATTTTCTTCTTTTTAATTAAATTTTCTTACTTTGTACATACTTTACAAAAAGATATAAAAATACAAATTTAAATCAAACATAGATAATAATACTTGACAAATAAACAATATTTAGTTCTCTTATTAAATTCACATCTCGCACTTGTAAA